AACACTGTAAATCTCTGGTCCATTTTTCTACACTGATTGGATTTACGTCTGCCCCAACTTCCCTTTATCGACGAAAATGTTATATTATCTCATCATTTGTTGCACTATTTATTTTGTTTGGAGAGAAAGGAATGAGAGGAGATTTGCGCAATCTGCCTCCAACTGTTCTACGGTTTGTCTTAAAATCACAAAAATTATTTTTTCGAAAGTTTGTAAATGGAAGGGTGGGTATCAACTGTTGGATCTGCTATGAGGTGCCTTATTTGGTTTGTGAATTATGTCATGTTTTGCTGGCTGAGGTATTTTCTTTCCCTGGTCCCAGCGGGTTTGTTATTATCAGTTTTGGGATATTGTTCAACTCTTTTGCTCTGGGGCCTTTTCTGGTTGGCTGGAATTTTTGTTGGTTTTGGGGACAATGATGATAGATTGTTTTTGCTATCCCCCTGGATGGCTGCTTCTTAAAACCTGATTTTTTTTTTCTTAATGGCAGTTCCCGCAATCGGGGGTTTGTGTGCTACTCGGCGTTTACAATCCTTTTTTTTTTAGCCCCTTAGATTCTATTCCGTCTTTTGTTCTTTCTTGCCATTTTGACATGTTTAATTTTTGGCGAAGGATATTGTTGCCTTTTTTTGGTCCATGGGGGTTGTTTACTCCTCTATTTTATATCTTCTTTTATACATGTAACTAGATTTTTCTTTTAATGGAATTGGGGATTTGCCCTTAGCTTAAAAAAAAAAAAAAAGTTGGAGTCAAGCATTAATTACTCGAGCTAAAAAAATATTTCTAAGAGAAGTTGGTGTCACAGTTAAATGTTTTACACAAGAGAAAATAAAAAAGCAAGCCACATTTTTTTATCCACCGGAAAAAGCACAGTCCGCGAGCAACAAAGCGTCTGCACTATTGTTGGCTCACTGGCCGTGAAACAGGGCGGAAAGCTGCGTATGGAGGGCGGGGAACCGAAATCGAGTGGCTCGATAAGCGGCTCGACAGCTCGTATCTGTGTCACGAGTCGAGCTCGAGTTCGAGCTCGATATTTAACTGACGAGTCGAGCTCGAACACCTCTTGACTCGAGCTCGACTCAACTCATTAGCACCCCTAACCCTAAGCAATGGCCCATAAAAAATACTATTTTTATTTACAATGTTAAAAAAGAAAACTGAAAGACACCATCAGAATTTCACATAACTTCGGAGTCCTTTTTAATGAATTAAAGATATTTATATTTACATACGCATACGCCAAACTTTACCGGTTCAGAAAAGGGGACCGCACCAAAACTCCATTAATAATGATGGTTGCAGAATCCAAGAGAAAAAGTTTAAAAGGATTTTTTAAAGAGACCTTTCGAAAGCTTTGAGCACTTTATATTTTTATTTTATTTTATTTTTTTAAAGATATCGGTTACCAAAAATCAAAAAATAAATTAGTTATGGCTGAAATTTAATTTTTTATTTTATTTTTTAAAATTTAAATTAATTAAGTTAATAGGGACCCATAAACTCTTTTCGAAATGCCATTAGCACTGTCAAATTTCTTCTAGAAATAACATAAAATTTTCATAATATTTTATTAATAAAAATAGTGTAAATATTAATTATATAAATAATTTGTAAATAAAATTTTATAAATTAGTAAAAATTTAGGCTTCTTTGACGATTTTCTTATTGCTTCTTGAAGTATATTTTTAGTGAAAAAATTAAAATTTTTTTACTAAAAAAATTATTTTAAGAAGAAAGCCGTCCCAAACGAAGCCTCCGTTTTGAACGGCTTTATTAAGTACCTTTTAAATTCACTTTTTTGTACAAAAACATTTTGGAAAGAAAATTTTATTACTAGAAAACTACTTTAGACAATAGTGATAAAGCGGTCTCAAATTTCTTCTAGAAATAACATAAATTTTTCACAATATTTTATTAATAAAAATAGTGTAAATAATAATTATAAAAATAATTTGTAAATAAAATTTTATAAATTAGTAAAAATTTAGGCTTCGTTTGAGACGGTTTTCTTATTGAATCTTAAAGTATATTTTTAGTGCAAAAATTAAAATTTTTCTACTAAAAAATTGTTTTAAGAACCGGTAAAAAAAACAGTCCCGAACGAAACTTTCGTTTGGAACGGCTTTATTAAGTACCTTTTAAATTTTATTACTTATTATGAAAAGGTAGACGAATAATGAAGACATAGTACATGGAGTACTTTTTATGCATTATATTTATGATTGTAACGATAAGATTATAACATACAGTATAATTTATATAATGTTTTATGATGATTATATAATGACTAATTTTCAATAATTATTTGAAAACCTGTCATATGTATGATCATGCATCATAAAAAGCATTAATAAAATTTGAATATTATGTTTATTTATGGGACTTACATCATAAAAATGTTAATAAAAATTTAAATGTTAAAAACATAATATTGCATAGAAATTTAAATTTTAATTAAATAGATTTTAATATATGAATTGAATTATTTTTTCCTTATCACCCTCCATCAAATCAAGCTATAATCATGAGATGATGTCCGAGCTTTCATTTTCTCTCTCATTCATTAGCATTTAGCCAACAACTTTTCCTATTTTTGTCCTCAAATATGTAGCTTTTTTCTCTACAAACTTTAAGAGTTATAATTCGAGAAAATTTCACATGGAAATCCTATCAATTTGAAACATCCAATTATAGCAAAAAAAAAGCAAGAAAGGCTATGGTATGGTCTATTACATGCCAAAGTTGGTGATAAGTGCATGCAAAAAATCATATTTTCTAATATTAATTAATAAAAATAAATGGCAATAATATGCCAACAAGCTTATAATAATAAGTTTTTTTTATTTATTCTTGCATGACTATGCATTATTTTCCTTAAGTCGTAGCCCTGATGACTTTTCTGTGTGTTATGCGTGTTGGGGATATTGCATTGACTCTAATAAGCTAAAAAGAAATTTTTTATAAAGATGTAAAATCCATATAATTGTCCACCACAGGAGGAACTAAGCCCTCACAATCATCATCAATAAACTAAGTGCATTAAGGTGTTCATTCTATCTAACATGGAATATGTTTTAATTAGTGTAATTTATGCTGGCTTCATCTAGGGTGACATATTATTCACCGCAAAGAAGATAAATGGATGTCGCACTTGATCTCAGTCAAAATTCTAACTTATAACAATGTAAATTATAAGTTACAAAGATCCTTTGTATGACAAATATTCTAAGCTAAAAAACAGACAAACACTACAAGAAAAATTGGTATTTTGGGCAGCGAACCACGGGAGTCAACTTATGTAAACGACAACGATGAACCACGAGTGACGACTCACACAAGCAAGTGGAAGGAAGAAAATACGAGGAAAGGGAGAACATACGAGCAG